TTTCGTATTAACTGCAGAGCTTTGTACCTTAAAAGCTAATAAACCCATTTTATTGGCAATAATATATATATATATATATATATATATATATATATATATATATATATGTTTAAATTTTGTCATTGTTGTTTCAATCATGATCGTACAACAATGTTATAATTTTGCTATTTGGATGCTTTTTAATTAATAATTGCGTCTGTTATCGTTTTCTAGTGTTTTGTCAAAATTATTTTTGCGTTGTTTTTTTTTAATTTATTAATTTAATTTGTTTTTTTTGTTTCTTTATTCTTGATGATGATACCAAAAATTTGATGAATTAGCGGCTAAATCAACGTGAATTTTTTGAAACATCAGTAAAAAATTTGATCAGCGGTTTCTTATACAAACAAAACTTTATTGGCTTGTTTTTGCATTAATTCGCAGCACTTGCCGAATAATGTACTAATTTGTTGAAAGTTTTTTATTTTTAGGTTCGTGTGTTTTGTAACAATTCGTCATTACTCATTGTTTAGTGCCGCGTGAATTGTAATGATATTGTAAATGGGTACATTCAATTTCATTTCACTTCCTTTTGATTGACGCACAGTTATTGTTGAATTTCTTTGCGGTGTATGTACCTACCTTCAACTTCTACATCTTGATTTCATTTCGATTTCGCATTATGGAACTTTGTTAGCAATGTTATCATTAACTACGTAGACCGTTAGGTTAGTTAGAGAAACTTGCTGCAGGATTAAGTTTAGAAATAAATTCGATGAATTGAATGTGGAGGTTTGGGCAAGAAAGGATAGTTATGAACTTCTCACGCGGTCCTGGTGCATGCAGGTTACCAAATGAAGTCTTAACGAGTAACTGTAAAATTTGAACCGTAAGAAAATTAATAACCCAGTTGTAATCAACTTCAAATTGGTTTTATAACACGTCTGGTTTTGAATCCTCACCAATTGTTTACACCACCAATTAGGTCGGGTTTTGGGGTGGTTTATGATGACGAGCAGTTTATTTTAACGTGTTCAGTGGCTTTTAAAATGCTGGAGTGTTTTGAAATGTGTTATTCTGGCTTTATATAAACTAGAAAGGATTTGAATTAACCAATGAAACGTTGGACTGAAAGGTAAATTGCGATCTTCCATTTAGAAACTGGATGTGTCGACGGATGTTATTCTTATATAACAAACAAGCATGTTCGATGACGTAGAGTTGATGCTTAGTAGTAAAAAATCTTTTACGGTGTTGTGTAATTATATTGAATAAATTAACTTGTGAAGAGTCGAGTCTATAAAATGTTTACTGTTGTCTTTCATCAAAGGTCTACACGTATACATAAAATTAATACAACAAATGTATCCGAAAATTAAATAAAAAAAAACAGTACAATTTCATTTAACAGATTATTAAAATAAATTTTTACTACCTAACAAGCGCTCATCGAAGGCTCTACATTATTAATTCCTTTTTTCGATTTCTGTTGTGTTTGTCTTAAATTTTAACACATTGCTATTGTATAGTATTTTTATTATTATTATAAATGCATGAATATTATAAATAATAATGAATAATAATATTTTTATTTCACCATCTTCTCCCCATTATAACAGGTTCACAACTTCCAATAACCTGACTATAAATTTATTTATATATATATATATATATATATATATATATATATATATATATATATATATACATACATACATGCAAATAAACCTACATGTATATACAAATAAACCTACATAGAACTATATAAACATACATGTTCTGTACATAATAAGAAAATTATTTGCATTTGCTATTTTGGATGTATGTATTTTATCTAAGATGGATGCCAATAATATATCAACTTGTTTTGCGATTAAAAAGTGTTCATGTATTAGTAGTTGTAATTATTTTTGAAATCTAGGTCGTTTATCTTGTATATATAAATATATATATAATATATATATATTTGTGTGTTTGAGTGTGTACATTTTATTTATTAGCAGAGTACAACATCATTCGATAAGTTAATACCTTTTAACCGTGATAGATTGCAAAATGTTTGTTGTTCTTCAATTTTACCTTGTGATCACGTTATTCAATGTGCATTTCTATCCATTTAAACACACGTTCATATTTTTCATGCACACTCACCTGTAAAAATTGAAACATATATTTGTTATTGATATTTCAAGTTCATTAATGCATTTTATGTACGTGTGTATTATAAAATCTTTCCAATACTCAGTTTCTTTTAGTTTGTAACACTCAAAATCACTTGACTCTTAAACACAGACATATATAACATGCACATGCACACACACTGCCCATGGGAGCAGGTAGGTTCACATTAACGTATTTCTTCATAATAAAAAGAAGATAATATAAAAACATAAAGAGAGCATTATGTGATTTTTGGAAACGACTTTAACCTACCGCATGCAGTGAAAGGCATTGTAAAACACTCTATAATTCTTAGATAGCTAGAAATGTTTGACAAACTTTTCATGACAATTGCAAAATG